GAGCTGGCAGGCACCAAGACACACTTGAATGTGCACATGTGTGTGGCCATTGTGCTCACAGGCAGACTCACACATGAGCATGTGTGCCAGGCACATCCAAACACAGGCAGAGGCTCATGCAGACACACGCCAGCGTGCAGGCTGGGAGGGAGGGCAGAGCGGAGCTCCCTGTAGAATATGGAGGGGAAATGTGGCCCTGGACGGCCTGGGGCCTGCTCTGGCCTCTGGCTGGGACCCTGAGCACCCCAACGCCCACAGCTGCTCCCCCCTCCTTCCTCCTGCCCTGCAGGCTGGGGTGGGGTGGGGGTCTAGGGCTGAGCCCTGTAGGGGAGAAGTAGGGGTAAGGGTCTGGCTTGAAGGGACTGGAGCGAGATCTGCCCCCTCCAGGGTGTCCCTGCCCAGGGCAAGGGAGCTCAGCCTGCAAGCTCCCAGACTTACCGCCTGAAGAATGTTCTTCAGACTTGAGTGGCCCAGTGTGGGACCTAGGTGCTTAGGGCTCAACCCATTTTGGAAAGGTGGTGGGATCTGTCCCCAGCCTGGGGGAGAATGACAGATGTCAGTGCCATGAAGGCTCTGAGGAGTCCTGCAGTGAGGATGCCATCTCCCTTCCTCCGAAGCTCTCCCCAAACTTTCAACAGCAGAGGCTTTTTTGGGGTGAGGGACGGGGGTCTTAAAACATGCAACCACCAGCAGAAACCTGTGTCCCGGGACCCCTCTGCCTCCGCCTTCCATCTCTCCAGGGCTCTTGGCTCTGCCTCCGGGGCCTGTGGCCCTGGCTGACTCCAGCCCCCGATGGAAGCCCAGCAGACATAGCACAGGTGGCCCAGGGCGGGGCTTGCCACCCGTCTGCTTCTGGTTTGCTGGGACGGTGCGAAAACCCCATCTTGTGTGAACTGGGACAGTGGGTCACCTACCTGGCACCCCGTACCCTGGGCTTCCTCCCCAGGACCAAGCTCTATCTCAGGGCGTTTGCCCGAGGCTGTCCTCGTGGCTGCCGCTGGCCTGGTCTCCACGGCACCCTTGCCTTCCAGAAGCCCGTGTGAACTGCTCCACCCACCCCCTGCTGCTAGAAGACTCGCCCTCCTGCCCCAGCCTCTATGCCAACTGGCTGGTCATCCTCCTGCTGGTCACCTTTCTGCTGGTCACCAATGTGCTGCTCATGAACCTGCTCATTGCCATGTTCAGGTGACTCCACCCCAGCCCCTGGAAGACAGGGCCCTGAAGTGGAGGGAGCAGAGGGTCATTCCCCAACACCCGCTTCTTTGCAGCCCTCCTGGTGCTCCACAGTCTGGGGCTTGGTGCCCCAGGGCAGATAGGAGGCGGCACAGCCTGGACTGCGGGGCTTTGCCTGCCCAAGGCCGTGAACTCTGTGGGCTGCCCTCCCGGTCACAGGAAGCAGGGCCTGGGTCTTTGGGGGACCGGTGCCCTGGCGAGAGCTCTGGGCTTGTCCGGGAGAGCAGAGTGGGCAGGGAAGACCCCAGAAGAGGGGAGCCCTTCAGACACAACCCAGAGGCAACGCAGAGGCAGTGCTGGGCCTCGGTTTCCAAAAGGGCTTCCGGGTGTGGGGGGGACACGCCCCCGGGTGGGCATGAGGAGCCGGCAGGTGAGGGTCTGGCCATGTCCCTACAGCTACACATTCCAGGTGGTGCAGGGCAACGCGGACATGTTCTGGAAGTTCCAGCGCTACAACCTGATCGTGGAGTACCACGAGCGCCCCGCCCTGGCTCCACCCTTCATCCTGCTCAGCCACCTGAGCCTGGCGCTGCGCAGGGTCTTCAAGAAGGAGGCCGAGCACAAGCGGGAGCACCTAGGTGAGGCAGAGGCGGCGGGTCCCGGGGCGGGCTGTGCCCCAGAGGCAGGTCAGGAGAGACCCGGGTGCCTCCTCAGCCCCGTGGGCCCTCGGCTGGGCTCTGTGTAGGCTGGCACTGCCGAGCCCCTCCCCCAGCAGCTTGGCTGTCCCTGCGCAGGGCCGTCCTTGCCCTCCATGCCCTGGCTGGGTCCCACTCACTCCTTCTGCCTGGCCTACCTCACCTGGGGACCGGGCCTGGGCTCTGCCACCGGGGCCCACATTCTCTGGTAATGCCGGCTGCTGCCCCGGCTTTCCCAGAGAGAGAGCTGCCAGACCCCATGGATCAGAAGGTGGTCACCTGGGAGACGGTCCAGAAGGAGAACTTTCTGAGCAAAATGGAGAAGCGGAGGAGGGACAGCGAGGGGGAGGTGCTGCGGAAAACTGCCCACAGGTGCGGGTCTTGTCCTGATCACTGGTGGGTGTCGGCCTTCAATCGGGGGCGTGCCGTTGGTGCCAGTGACAGAGGATCTGAGCTGGGGAACTGAGGCTGAAGTGGGAGGGGCAGGGCCCTGGCCTAGCTCCCCAGCCTGACCCGTGCAGGGCCCTGCTAGGAACCGGCCAGGCTGAAAGGGAGAGTGCACAGTGAGCATGGTGGCCGCCCTGCTGTGGTCTCAGGAGTGGAACTGCCCACCCCTGGCTTCCCTCCAGTCGTGGCTCCAGGGGTCTGTTCCTGGCCGTCTGCCCTGCCCCGTTTAGCTGGGTGGTGTGCCCAGGCAGAGATGGCACCCCAGCCCTACCGGGAAGGCACAAGGCACTCTGTACCTGCGCTGGGAACACTTTGAAGGGTCCTGGTCCCACCAGACCAGGGCATGAAGGGGGAAGGGAAAGGGCCAGGGCGCCCCGGACCCGGGCACACAGGGAGGCCTGGGGGATGGGGAGCCTCCCCCACCGCGTGGAGCGCTACGAAGCCATCACAGCCTGCCCGCCTGCTCCTGCTGCAGAGTGGACTTCGTTGCCAAGTACCTCGGGGGGCTGAGAGAGCAAGAAAAGCGCATCAAGTGTCTGGAGTCACAGGCAAGCAAGCCTAGGAGCTCCTCTCCGAGGGGAGGCGGGTGGCTGCATGGGGCTACCGGGACCCGTCCACAGCCGTGGCCATTCACAGAGATGAGCAGCCCGGAGCCAGGACAGGAGCACCACCGTGGGCAGGGAGAGTCCTGGGGGAGATGGTCCGTCCCCACCTGAGCCGGCTCCCACCCTGACACTGGAGAGGCCACAGCCTTAAATGAGGGGTCTCACTTTAAGACCCCTCACCTTTGATTCTCGGGAGCCTCACCAACCCCTGCCTTTGAGCGGCAGCTCCTGGAGGGAGGAGTCATGGGACAACGGAGGCCCTGGCAGGAGCAGGGGGAGGCGGGGAGGCTACCTGTCCCCTGCTGTCCTGAGAAGCCTGGAGCTTCCCGACACGTCTCCCTCCTCCAGATCAACTACTGCTCAGTGCTCCTGTCCTCCGTGGCAGACACGCTGGCCCAAGGCGGCACCTCCTGGAGTAAGCCTGTTTGGGGAGCATGGGATGAGGGTGGGCATGGCACCCACCCTGCAGGGGCTGGTGGCAGCAGGTGGGGGACTGTGGGCTGTGCTGTGGGCCCTTCCTTCCCTGCCTGGCCTGGGAGTCTCCAATGGCCTTGGCTGCATGTGGTACTTCAGGGCAGTGCCCTCTGATGGAGCTCCCTGCCTTGGCCAGGACAGAATGTGCTTCAGACTCCTGAGGCTCTGCCTGGCATGGGCCCTGCTAGGCTGTCCCGCCCAGCAGGCAAGGCCCCTCGGCCCCACAGAGGTGCTTCCCTAGCTCTAAGAGCACAGGCAGAGGCCTGGTTGGCTCTGGGCTTCCCACCTTTCCCAGGCTGGCCTGTCGGGACTCATTCTGAGGGCCCCGGCGTCCTGGCCCTTGCCTCCCAGCCAGCCACCTCTCCCCTTCCTGGGGCTGCCCTGCTGGCTCCCACTGCTCAAGGGGGGCCTTCCTTCCCAACAGGCTCTCGGCACTGTGGTGGGGGAAGCCGGCTGGTGGCTGCTGACCGGGAACACCCCAGGGCTGGCCAGCCTCCTTCGGACACTTGAGTTCCTTGGCCTGCCACCTGTGGGGCCACCGCTTGTCAGCTGGCCACCCTGGGCCTTGTGCACTGACCTTTGCCCACCTCCAGTGGAACCCCCAGGGGGCAGCAGCCCCCCAGCAGGCAATGCCCCCACTCCCACCCCCATGCCTCACCACAGACCCTCACGCACAGGAACCACTCCTTGGCCCTCCTGATGCCTTCCTGGCCTCCCCAGAGGCATAGCAGTGTCATGGGGCCACCTCCCTGACAGGCAGAACTCCCTGGGGAAAAAACATGCGCCCCGCCGTGTCCCTACCTGGAAACTGTCCAGCCTGCACCAGGGAAAAGCCAGCTCTGCAGCATGATGGGGGTGCAGCCCCTTCCAGACGGGCAGCTGCTCTGGGGCCTGCACCCACCCCTGCCCTCACTTGTGTTGCCTGCAAAGACTCATCTTTTTTTGAAACACCAGTGGTTAAATTTCTGCCACTTAAGACCCAAAAGGTCCTTTGGGACTCAGGAGACTGGTTCCTGGAGGACAGGGCTGGGCGTCCACTGCGTCTGTCAGATGTCCCCGACACCCTGTGGCCGGTACAGGACACACTGGTATTTATGGCCCCAGGACTCAGCCCATGCTGGCGTCAGTGGCTGCTTTCCTTCCAGTGGAACCTGGAGAACGCTGCACCACCCTGGCCAGTTAAAACTGGACACCAGGCGAAGTCCAGCACCTACCTGCGCCGGCACCCCACTCACCCCAGCCTCTGTCCAGACCCATTTTGTCACCTTCCTCTCGCCTCCCATGCTGGAATCTGCACCAGGCCTGGGGCTGATGTTATCATGTGAGCTTTGGTTGGGGGAGAGCAGATTCTGTACCCACCCAGGCCCATTGAGGGCACTCGCTGGACACCTGCCACTGAGCCACAAACCCTGGAAGAGACCTGGGGTTTCCACTTCTTGCTGCCACCTGGGTGATCTGCTGGTGAGGGATGCAGGTGCCAGCCACCTCGAGTGGCCGGGCACAGAGGGTCAGGTGTGGGGACACTGCACTCAGAGAGGCTGGAAGAAGCCAAGCGGGACCCCTTGCTGCTGACAGGGGTGAGCAGGGCCCAGATATACACGAAACCTGAGGGAGTCCCAAAACCTTTATTGTCCCCACCAGGCAGCCAGTGCTTCCAGCCCACACCCCACACCCCAGGAGCTCAGCCAGGTCTCTGTTGGGAGGATGACGCCCAGGGCCGCAGCCAGGGCCACCGGTGCCACCTACAGGCAGCCTGCAGGCTTCCTCCCACTCTAGCTGGGCAGTGGCTGGGCTGCCCCTTGGCCAGCTCTCCTGGGAAGGCAGCAGGATGGCAGTGGCCAGTGTGGTCAGGCAGCACCGTCTCCCTCTGAGACCTCAGCGCCTGGGCCCTCGGAGCTGCTGCCCTTGTTCCGGAAGTGGTCTCGACTCCGCTTCCTGCTGCTGTGGAAGCCAACCGTCTCCACCGGTGGGAGGCCTGGCACAGGCCCACCGTGGACAGGCCCTGACGGTGCCTCCACCTCCTGCAGGCCCCCGTGGGGGCTGCCCCACTCCTCGGCCTCTGGGCTCCCGGGCCTGGCCAGATGGGCCAGCTCCACCGGGCCCTCGCCCCTGTCTGGGGCAGGGTTCCCAAGGCCGCCCCTCCCTGGCTCTCCTGCTTTACCCAGGACCCTCTTCCTCTCGTGTCTGGCCTCAACCCCTCGGGCTGGTTTGGTGAAGACGACCCTCCCTTCCCCACAGCTGGAGGGGTCCTGGTTGAAGGAGGGCATGCAGTCAGTAGAGGCAGCCACGCTCTGGGAGCCCAGGAAGGCCAGGGCGGCAGCCTGATTGCTCTGCTCGCTGACCTCGGTCACACCTTCCAGGCTGTACTTGGTCCAGCGCTCGGGGTGTGCCACGTAGTCGGGGACTGGAGGCACCTTCGAGGAGGCTGGGCTCCAATGGGCCCTGCCCAGGCCTTCCACTGGAGGCCGGCCTGAGGGCACCAGGGGCCGCTTGAAGCCTCCACTGTCACTCATACTGGTGTGGGCCACAGAGGGTAGAGCCTGCCTGGCTGCCCCCTCCAGGAAGTCAAAGATGTCATGGCTTCGCTGGGAGAAGGTGGAGCTCATGCCTCTCAGATGGAACGGCTGCACCGTGGATGTGAGAAGGAGGCCCGAGGGGGGTGAGGGCGGCTCATCGGGACCTGAATCCTCCTCCCTAGGCAGCCCCATCGGGGACAGCGCTTCTACTTCAGCACCGCCAGGCAAGCTGAGGTCAGAGTCCGAGTCACTGAGGGAGACTGTGTCAGAAGGCAGTGTGTCATACTCCGTCTCATGCGCCCCCTCCACGCTGGGGGTCGGTTCCTCTGTCCCTGCCTCAGCCATGCGTTCCCAAGACCACGTCACACCTAGACCAAAACACCCCAGGAAGTTTGTTTCTGAGGAACAGTATTAAGAATGAGTCTCCTGCAGATCGACCGCCCCTGCACAAGGAGGGTCAGCTGACAGACTGTCCCACACAGGGTGGAGTCCCGTCTCCCCCTCCCAGCCCTGCTCTCACCTCCCTTGGCTGCTGGGTACCAGTGGTTGACACTGGAGTGTGATTGGACTGCCAGGTGGGCGGATCCTTGATGAAGGTCCTCAGTGGCACAGGTATGGTGGTCTCAGGCCTCGGAGTGCCCCTGGCATGGCTCTGTTCAGCTGCTCAACTGCAGGTGGGAGGGGTGGGGGAGAGGACCATCCTCAGACCGGAGCGAAAATGTGCGAAAGAGGTGCCAGGTAGGACCGACCTGAGCCTGGGTTTTGGAGCCCCTGATAGGCCAGAACCCAGGGTAGGGACTTAATTGTGCCAACCCTCTGCAGGCAGGCTTGGAACTACTAAGCGATTTTGGTAGTAAGCAGCCGCCCAGGGCTTGAACCCAGGGCCGAGATCAGGCAGGAGAGCTACTTATAAGCTGCTTGCTGTGGGGGGTGAACAGTCGGTACTCCACAAAGAGCAGGCACCTTCCTGGTCATCGGGGAAAAGGTTTGCTCCTATTTGCTGGGAGAGCCCCGGGAGTTCCCAAGACATCTGCAGCCAAGGCCCTGGCATCTCGGGAAAGTGGGGTGTCAACCATCACCTTGAGCAGCCCTCATAGGCAGAGGCAAATCCCCGCAGCTCCTGGAGCGACCTCTAGTGGCCCTCCTCGTGTAACACTCAACACATACACTGCTTTTCCAGCTGGGCAGATAAGTGCTGCCTCCTGCACCCATTTAGCAGTGAAGTGACTGGGTGCCTCGGAGCTGGCATTTCCAGGCCGAGAGGACAGCCCAGCCTCACCCTTCTGCACTACCCTCAGCCATCCATCCACTGACTCTCCTCCTGCTACCAACACTCCTTGCCTGCCAGGGTGACCTGTGTCTCGTGCACCGAACAAGGATGGGGTCAGGGGTACCAGAAGGGGCTCTTAGTGCCCTCCACCAGGTCAAACAGAGGCAGCACTTCAATTCGTGACTCTCCTCAGTGAAGAAGCCACCCCATAAGTCAAAGGGGCTACCCTGAACCCCTCACTGATGTCCGTTTTAGAGCTGGCAGGGACGGGGTGGGGAAATAATTTGCCCAAGTCACATGGCATGTTGCAAATGAAGCTGGAGCTCCAACCAGACCCCTGCTTCCCAGATTCGCACTCCTGTCCTCTGCAGCGGGACGCCGCCGCGGCCAGAAGCAGCCTGGACAGCGGGGCACTCCGAGGGGGAGCCGGGGATCGGGCGGCAAGATGGGGACTCTGGGAGTCCGTTTCTCGGAGTTCTTGGCGAAATCCGGCAATGCGTGGAAGGCAGAGCAGAGTCCTTCATGCCCGGAGGCTGAAGGAAACCGTCTCTTTCTCCCCATGAACTCAGGGCCAGGCCTTTCTCCTCTCTATGTGCCAGCAAGACCTCCCCGCCAGGGAACAAACAAACTCTCTGTGCCAAGTCGGCTCTCGGTGCGAAGTCGGGCTGGACACTCACGAGGATGCTGTGGGTCCCAAGGGCTCGGCCGCGAGGTACGGGGGTCGGTGAGCACAGCGGGGCCTCAGCTGCGCTCGGTGACCTCCCGGAGGCTCACCCGGCCCACGCGGCCCGTCCCTCCTCAACACAAACCTACCAGTTCGAAGGCGGCACGGCCGTATCCATCTTGGTCGGCGCCGCCCGCCCATGCGGCGCGCTCAGCCCTCTGGGAAACCGAGTGTTCATCCGGCCGAGCGCCGCGGCTTCCAAGTCCGCAAAACTACACCTCCCACAAGGCACTGGGCCACCGCTCCCGACGCCTGTCGGGACGTGTAGTCCTGTGCGCATGCGTCCGCCTCTCCACTCCTCCACCCAGCGGCCCTGGCGTCCGGCTCGGAAACAGCCCCGGAACCGCGGCATTTGTTGGAGAAACAAGACCGGAATTGACCAAGGAGAACAGGAAGAGGAGGGGCCAGGTCTGCAATTCCCAGAATGCTCGAGGGCTAACCGACAGCCGGGCCGGCTTCCTGTGGTCTCAGCGCCACCTGCTGGAAACCGCGAGAACAGCGGCCGCTTCAGGCAGGAAGTGCGTCATCTCGTAGGGCGGGCGATGGCCGTTCAGACACTTCCGGTCATGACCGGAAGCGATGACAGTAGCTCTTCCGGGGCTTCGGGGCACCGAGGCGGGGCTCCCCAGGATCCCCCGGTCCCGCTCAGGGCAGACGTAAAGGCGGTCCCAGCCCGAGATGAGGACGCGGGGTGTTGACCTCTGGGCCACGGGTGAAGGGGGCGGCCTTGCTGGATCCGCTGGCTGGGCCGACGTTTTCCCACCCCTGGGGGTTGGCTGGGCGCTGGCCGCAAACTTGTGGGGCGTCGCCCTTGGGGACGCTGCCGGGCCACCCGCGCAGCCCCAGGCCCTCAGCTCTGGCGCATTGGTCCGGGCTCCGGGAGGGCCTGAGGCGGCCCCCGGGGGCGCTGCAGGGAAGCCAGGGCCAGGCCCTTCCAGGTCCCCGGTCCCCCGGCCTCCCGGGCAGGGTGGTGGCCGCTGAACGCTGCTCCGGCTTCCAAGTCATCGTGGCTGGGTGGGCGGCAGCCGGAAGGGTCTGGCCTCCGCCATGCTTGGGAGCCGGCAGCCTGGCCTCGCCTGTCCACGGTGCCCGCCCTGAAAGGGAGAACGAGGGCCTAGGTTCTGCCCTCGGCAAGCCGCGTCTCCCTTGGCCGCCGGGCCCTAGTTGGTTGGCACCTTGTGCCTCTTCTCTGCTGGGAGCGTTCATGCCCCGCGCACTCCGGGAATCTGAGTTTCCCTTGGCGGCTAGACCGCTTGTCCGTCTGAAAGGCTCGAGAGAGAACTCCCTTCCCGGGGCCTGCTGTCCTGGCATCCGCTGGGAAACAGGATTCAAGGACCTGCTGTGGCCCGGCCTAGAGAGAGAAGGAGGGGAAGCAGGGCCCACCCCTCGGCCCCCGGTCTGCTGTGCGCCTGCCTTTGGGATACGTTATTCCTTAAACTGCTCTTCCCTCCCCGCAGAGAACACAGCGGGAAGTGGAGAGGGGGCTCCTTGGACCATCCTGTTCTCCCAACCAGTGCAGGCTTGGAAGTTGGGAGCAGCAGGAGAGGGCCTGCTGAGACTGTAACCTCCCAAAATGCAGGGCTGGGGACAGTTTACAAATTGGCCGGCAAAGAGGCTGCTGGGAGCCCTAGATATAAATTCCCAGTCACTCCTTTCCCCCAGGGGTCAGTTAAATGTGCCAGCACCTTCCTCTCCCCAACTAGGGAAAAACAGCTGGACCCACAGCAAGCACCACCCCACGGTGTAAGGGAAGTTAGGGAGAGCCTAGACCAAGCCCATTGGCTGGAGGAGCTCAGACAGGGAAAGGGTCGGGGGAGTGCAGGGGATGCTTAGCCCCAGAGCCTGTCCACCCACCCACTGCCCACTGGGGGGCTGAGTGGGCTCCCGAGGAGGCTGAGGTCTTTCTTCCCAGCACCTTTGAGATGTGGCTCAGGCCCTGAACCACCAGCTCCTCAAAGGAACACTTACAGGCACTAGATGAGCAGGGCAGAGACCCTCAAATGCTCGGGAGGGGGCAGTATGTCCATCCTTTACCATCCCTCAGGAGGAAGAGTTGTTCTGCAGCTCACCCAGCCCCTGCCCCGAGCCCATCTCCTACTGCACTCTGGCTGCCTGACCCCTCCTGCCCACCCGTTGCCACTGTGCCCCTTGTGTGCCCAAGGGGCAAGGTGGAAGTGGCTGCAGGCAACACAGAGCCCCCAAAAGGGCCCTTGCTACCTGAAGTTGCTCCCTGGTTTAAACTCAAAAGCAAAGTTCTAAGCAACCCCAGCCAATGGGATGGGCACCTCTTAGCCAAACGCATTCTAAAGTAAACCTGAAAAGCTAGTTTAGGCCATGATGACCATTGGTGCCTCATTATACTCTCTTCCCGTGAGAGTTTAGGCACAGCTGACCAGCATTCACATTAAAACACAGAGACCTTAGGCCAGGCGCAGTAGCTCACGCCTGTAATCCCAGCACTTTGGGAGGCCGAGGTGGGTGGATCACCTGAGGTCAGGAGTTTGAGACTAGCCTGGCCAACATGGCAAAACCCTGTCTCTACTAAAAATACAAAATTAGCTGGGTATGGTGGTGCAAGCCTGTGGTCCCAGCTACTTGGGAGGCTGAGGCAGGAGAATTGCTTGAACTTGGGAGGCAGAGGTTGCAGTGAGCCAAGATTATGCCATTGCACTCTAGCCTGGGTGACAACAGCGAAACTCCCTCTAAAATAAAAATAAAACAGAGACCTTAATACTCACAAAAAAAGCCTCTGTAGCAATAAGATGCCAATGTGACAGCATACCCTGAAAGAAATCGAAGTATTTTACCCCCAAATCTATTTCTTTGACGTGTTTTGAAACGGTCCCACAAAGCTGTGTCTTGTGGGGAAAATCTAAATTCTATACAGAATCCCCCTCCCTCTCTAGGTCTATTTGCTGACCCAGGAGAGAATTAACTAAGATTCTGGCACCTTTTTAAGTCTGATATGAAACATTTACAATCTGGAGGCTTCATCTGCATATTAAGAATCTCGGTCTTCACAACTTTTCCTCTAACCCATTAGATAATGGACTAATCCAGAGTCCACTCTATTGATTCCAGGACTTTAGACAGACTCAGCCAATTGCCAATCAACTAGAACATCTTTTAATCCACCTGTGACCTGAAAGTCCCTCCCTTTCAAGCAAGTTACCCCACCTTTCTGGCTAAACCAATGTACATCTCAGATGCACCGATCAATGTCTTATATCCCTAAAATGTATACAAGCAAGGTGCAGCCTGACCACCTTGGGCCAGGTTCTCAGGACCTCCTGGGGCTGTGTCACAGGCCTTTGGTGTTCATATTTGGCTCAGAAATAAATTTCCCAAATTTTACAGAGTGACTTCTCTTTTGTGGACACCAGGGATCCCAACCCACCCCTCTCGCCATGGACCTGACACAGTCTACGGCGCCGAAGCCCACCCTTGCTGGACTCCCCTGCTCTCTGGCCACCCCGTAGGTTTCAGACGCCACTGGCACTGAAGGACTGAACAGCCTGGTAGCATGCCTGACGTTCCTTCTTTATTAAATGATGGATTCAGGATGTCGTGATCACAGTTGAAGGTGACGTGTTAGAAAGGGCAGGTGCGTGAAGGCAGAGGGAGTGCCCACAGACTCGGCGCTCGACTGGGGCAGAGGGATCAAGGATTAAAAAGACTTGAGCTGTGCAGCCCACAGGATGGGCGGGCTGGGCAGACACAGCCCCCCAAGTTGGCCAAGCTGAGTCTCTGCGCGAGTGGCTCCCAGGAGAGGCCCGGCTGAGCAGGCAGTGCTTCCCGGGACCCCAGGGGCAGAAGGACCCCTGCCTTGCAGTCCCAAAGGCCCAGGCCCGTCTCCACTCACACACGCCACCTACATGTGACGTCAGCCCTGAAAAGGTAACAGGAGAATTCAGGACAAAAAACCTCGAAAATAAAAAGGCTACGTGTAGCAGAGTAATACCGGAAATGTTATATACACAGGCGGTGACGGCCCCCTCGAAGCGTCCGGGTCGCTCGTGGGGGTGGGGGGCGCGGCAGGGGTCCCTGCGGCCGGAGCGGCGGGACCTCAGTACACAGAGCTGTTCCGGATGCCACAGCACAGCACCATGCTCAGGATCATCTCGAAGATCTGCAGGAGGGTGGCGGCGGTGGCATGGTCAGCACGGGCCCGAAGGAGGGGCAGCCCGGAGAACAGGCCCTCCCGCCCGCCCGCTCACCATGATCACGGCGACCACAATGGCCGCGATGCCGATGAGGTACAGCTTCCCGGAGAAGAGCTCATCAATCTTCTGGTGGCAGTCCTCCTGTGGGGGTGGTCAGGCACGAGCAGTCAGGGCCCCGGCCTCAGCTCCCCCTTGTCACACAGCAGTCTGTGGTCATCACAGAAAGTGTGGACAGGAATCCCAAGAACACCCCCCCACCCCAGCCCACCCCCATCCACCTCGGAACGGGCAGGTGCAGCAGCCCGGCCTCTGCCAGCTTTTTATCTCCCACCCATTTTAACATAAACGTGAAATGCCCGGGACACACTGTGCCCTTTTCCACTGCCGTCACAGTCATCGGTACCACTAGTGCCCTAAAGCGTCACTGATGTGCACCCACTGACAGCTTCCACTGGGGCCTCGGCAGGAAACTTCCACAGGGCACTCACTACCGCAGGGACGGGCTGTCAGGGGCACCCACACCCACGAGTGCATACGTGGGGCTGTGGGTACCGGTGAGCTTCCACCCCCAAAAGCCTCCACTCCATCTGGCATGCAAAGCCCCGGGTGCCTGCTTTCCTTGTGGGCCAGAGGTGGTCCCACCCCGACCCTCCTGGCAGAGCAGCCCTGAGGGGGCCACATCACCCGGTGTGGTCGCTCCCCTGCCAGGGCTGGTGGGGTGGCCGTGTGGCCTGCTCACCCCAAGACTGCACCCAGGGGCTGGGAGATTCGGGGGATCAGGCCCGCCCCTGCCGGCCCCCACAGGCCCCCCCGCCTTGCACACCTTGAAGAGGTTGGTAATGATATTGCTGCCCGAGGGACACAGGTTGTTCTTGAGCACTGAGGTGGTCAGGGCGGAGAGCGTGCTGGAGCCGCAGCAGTTGAGCTGCAGAGAGCGGGGTATGAGGTCAGCCCTGGGCAGGCCCGGGGGACGGCGGCTCTAGGAGACCCGCAGGGAGGCGGCCGGGGGTACGTGGTGCCCCCCACTGTGGATGCATCCAGGGCCAGCCTTCTTCCCGCTGAGCTGC